ACTGAGCAACAGATGATTTTAAACATGTACCTGAAGTATGTCTATTAGTTTGATCTCCATCTAAAACACCATAAATAATCATTCTTCAGTCCTCTTAACTGACTCACTGCTGTCTGTATTTCACAGGGCCAATGATGATGGCCGAGGACGTTGGCAGTGGGCTCTACAGGCAGGATATCAGAGGTCCATCTGTGGTGGTGGACGGCTGAGGAGAGGCAACATAGTGTGGCTGAGTATCCTGCTCTGTGGACAGTTGCCGAACCGTGCCGGCGGGAGTATCCGGTGCGGATTAAATTAATTTATTTAAAAAATGTAGTGACATGTACTACATTGTACATGAAATATTGAAGTTAATAATTTAATTCAGAATAATATTAATATTTTTTTAGGGCCCCTCTGAGTCACTGGCCCTAGAATTCCTTGGAACTAATGGGAAGGGAAAGAGAAACCTGTTGGAAAACATTGTTAGCTGTTTTCTTTAGTCCCAGAAAACTAACATGAACCTGACTGACTGAGTAAGAGTTTGCAGAAATACTGAACCTGCCACAATAAGAAAATGCAGCAGCTCAGCTCTGCTACAAGTCTGTGCTATGTTGAGATTTTATGTTAATGAAGGTGTTTGCATTGTTAGACTCTTCATTGAATTTTCCCAGTAAAATGTCCTTGTAAAGGTTGAATCCTTCCAGAAGAAAGCAGAGTGCAGGGACCTGAGCAGGACAACATAGTTTCTCAGTTAGCCATGTTTTTAAGTTTGAAAAAAATATTAATTATTATTATTTATACAGAATGGCAAATTAGTCTAAGATAATGAAGAAATAGCCTTGAGATGAATTTAGACATTTACCTAAAGGCTGAGGATCAGGGGCACCGTGCAACTGACTGTCTGGTGCGGATCATATTATTATACATTGTGTTTTTTATATTTTATAATCAGTAAACAGTATAAACAAAACTATATGTTATATGTACTGTACTATATTGCACATCATTCCATCAACCTACAGGAGCTCGGGCACTGCGCGGCTGGGTATACTGTTCGGTGGGCAGCTGCGGATCAGGGGCATCATGCAACTGAGTGTCTGGTGCGGATCATTTTTATATATTTTATTTTATACTCTATATATACTATAATCAGTACACAGAATATTTACAAAACTACACCAATCTGCCATAACATTCTGAGCACTGACTGGATTGAATAAAACTGATTATCTGGTTATCATACCACCTGTCAGTGGTTGGGGATATATTAGGCAGCAAGTGAACATTTTGTCCTCAGAGTTGATGTGTTAGAAGCAGGAAAAATGGGCAGTGTGAGGATCTGAGTGACTTTGACAAGGGCCACATTGTGA